CTATTTGGTCAAATACCTAGCGACAAACTCCTATGTTCCTTATATATATGAATGTGTATAATTTTAAAATTTTTATTTTTACTAATATTATTTTTTTTTATTTTTTTATTAATTAATATTATTAAATATTAGGAATTGATGATGTGATATGTAATTAGGATGTTATATCAGTATTAAATATTTTTTTTTGTTCAGGGTTTTATTTGCCAATTTTTAAAAGTACAGATTTTTATTTGCCAATTTTCAAAAGTACATGATTTTATTTTCTAATTTCTAAAAATAAAATGTTTTTTGGATCAACAAAAAAATATAGAGTTTAAATTGCGACGAGAGAAAAATAAGGGATTTTATTGGGGATTTTTCTATTAGAAAATGTAAAAATGTAAAAATTAAATATTGAATTAAGTCAATGATTTTCAATATTGACTGTTCACAAAAAAAAAAGGAATGGATGGAAAATTATACACAGAGACGAAGAGCCAAACCCTTTCACATGCATTGTCATGAATTTGACATTTTTATCCTCGACGATGGCTTCCTCAACTCCTTTGTCGGGGCCCTCCTCGCCTTCACCTTCGCCTTCGATTATGGAAGACGAAGAAACCAGAAATTGGTCAACGATTCTTCACCGGCTTGGCACGGTGGAGATCCTGACGACTGCTCAAATGGTGTGCAGATCGTGACGCAGCGTCTCCAAAGACCCGTCGATGTGGCGGGAGTTCGACATGCGAAACTCCGGTGACCATGAAACCATGGAACACGATCTCGAGATCATGTGTCTTTACGCTGTCGATCGCAGCCTCGGTGGCTTGGCCGATATCAACATTGAGTACTTCGGCACTGACTCTCTCCTCGCTGGCATCGCCGACAGGTTCTGTCTCTCTCTCTCTCCCCCTCGAATTTCGATTGGGTTTCAGCGAAAGTTCTAATCTTTCGGATGATTTGTATGGAAATGGAGTTCATAATATGCTCTTGTTCTAGGGTCATGATGTTCGGTGCATCTTGAGGAACAATGATTCTTACTTGAACATTGTGTTCTTTAATTAACTGATTGGAAGTGTGTTATCCTATACGCTTGTGTCTGAAGGTGATGAGGAATGCGTGTTCATAAGGTGGGCAGTTTGTTGTCTTGTTCCTTCACAAGCATTATGTTATACCTCTTCTTGTCTTAGTTGTGAACTTGTGCCGTGATGAAAATATATCTGACAAGGCCAAAGCATGTTTGTCAAATCAGTAGGTTTTGGTAAAACAGCTCAATCGTCTTTGATTTTCTTTGGTCAGGGTAGGGATATTAGATGCAGAGATGGCGAGAGTAATGTTAATTGATAGATGTATTAGGAGCTGCCTCAAGATCAAGTCTAACTTTACTGTTGTTGTGATTCTTTTGGGCATGTTAATATCTTGCTATCGCTGTTGTACTTATACTTTGTCATGGATCCTGAACTAGCTGCAAGATTGTTGTAGGCTATTAATTGTTTGCCTTGCTGTTCATTTCCCTCCATCATGTTGCGGTGGAGCTGTTTGTCTAATTAGGGACAACGACCTTTGTTTATTTGTGTTTGTCTTTTTTGTTTTCTGATAGTTTCATTGGCATCGCTCATGTTTCGTCGGCCGTCATAATCTTTTCTTTGTTATCAGCTCAGTGTGCTAAGATCTAGTCCGAGAGGAAAAAAGGGATCTCTGTGAAATCTTAACCCATCAAGTATCGGGTTGGTGGTGATGACCTTTTTTGAACTTGTTAAAACTTTTTGGACATAAACGATGATTTTGAACGAGAGTTAATCTCGGTTCAACCAACTACTAGAACCCGTTCTTGTTTTCTAGTGTTGGTAAACCTTTTGAATAAGATTTGTGTCGGTTTAGTGCTCAATGATGTACTGTTATGCAAGCTTTATTTAGATACATTTGATGTATTGACACTTTCTATGGTTTATGGATGAGTGTTTTATTCATTACATGTTTTGCATACTAAATATGTTATGATACCCATGTATTGTTATGAACAATACTAAACTCCCTAGTCGTATGTCATTGTGGGAATAATGATGTAATAAGACTAGTATGATGTGTGATTGATGATCATAGAGATGATCATAGGTATTGGATACGATCACAATCATAGGTATTCGTTAGAGAACGGAATACTGGATTGACCCGCATGAGATTGTCACATGGACTAGTTTCATGACTTGAATCTTATATGACGGTTCCATGATTGGATCCTAAGACATGAGATATCTACGGAATCCAACATGAGGAGTTGGTACTTTGAATACGTCAAATGTCTTGCGTAACAGGAGGACTATAAAGGCGTGTATCAGGTACGAAACGAATCATGTGCTGGATTGTAGATAGTCAAGACGGGATTTGTACCTCTCGTAAAAGAGAGAGATATCGCTGGACCCCTCGTGTGAGCAAGACTGTAGAAATGTGTGGCCGCACTATAGACGAACGTCGCCTATTTCAGACAGTCGAACTCAGTGAACGAGAAAGCAGTCGAATCAGATAAGGTGGCTTGTCCATGCCTTATATTCGACATATGATATCGTGATACAAAAGGATCATCAACCAATGTCTTGCGTAACAGGAGGACTATAAAGGCGTGTATCAGGTACGAAACGAATCATGTGCTGGATTGTAGATAGTCAAGACGGGATTTGTACCTCTCGTAAAAGAGAGAGATATCGCTGGGCCCCTCGTGTGAGCGAGACTGTGAAATGTGTGGCCGCACTATAGACGAACGTCGTCTATTTCGTACAGTCGAACTCAGTGAACGAGAAAGCAGCCGAATCAGATAAGGTGGCCTGTCCATGCCTTATGTTCGACTTATGATATCGTGATACAAAAGGATCATCAGCCGGAATCATCACTGACGTTCGTAAGATCATGAATAAACTCTATTCGAGATAGGTAGTCATAGTGTCTTCTAGAGACCGCCTATGACTTATATATCCAAAATAGAGATTTCGGGTTATACTGCTATATCGAATGAGTCTACAGGATCACACACGCAGGGAAGGACAAAACGCACGAGAAAATGGCAAAAAAACCGAGAACGGAAGGGTCCAGACCGGACGGACCAGAAGGGCCAGACCCGACGATCCGTCAGGTCCAGACCCGATGGTCCACCGAAGGCAGACCGTCTGTTCTGGCTTGTCTGGAACGGACGGTCCACGTAGGTAGACCGTCCGTTCTGGCTTGCTAGAATGGACGGTCCACGTGCATTTCTGGACCGTCCGGCTTTCGGATTTTTTGAAAATTAAACCAAAATTAGGGTTAAATCACATTATAAGAAGGAGATTAAAATCCTAATGAATCGAGCAGACTTTGGGGAACTTCTACAGACTTTGGTGAGATCCACGAGGTTCTATGAAGTGATCTAAGTCTTGTTTTCTCGAAGCAATATACCAAATAGTTGATTCGGGTCCTAGCAGACAAGTTTCAATCGTTGGAATC